ATTCAGATTTTAGAAAATTTTCATTTTGTTAAGCTAAAATCATTCATTCCATTGCTCAAAAGATATTGAATGCCTAGCATGCTTCAGCCACACTGCTGGTGTTGATATAGTCCTCACAAACCTGATAGTCTAATATAATTTTGGCCCATCAATCCAAATTCTACACATCAGCTATGGTTCTATATTTCAGAACTGCAGAGAGTAAATCAAATAGCATGGTGAGGTCTAGATGCACATAAACAAACAATAGCCTTCCAGAAACTATAATGGAAGAAGTTTCCATTCATCATAGTATGCCAAAATATAAAATAGCTTAAAAAGTACTTAACAAGAAATTTGTAGGTCTAATGTGAAGACACCTATAAAAATTTACTAAGGGCCATAAAAGATGAGTTGAATAAATGGAGAGACATAACATATTCCTCTGTGGGAAGACTCAACACTGTAAAAACACCATTCCTCGTCAAATTAATCTAAAAATTTAATACAACCCCAATCATAATCCTAAAGTTATTTTCTGCTTGAAACATAAGAAAGTTACTTTAAGTCATTCTGGAATATAAATATGTGAGTATAGCAAAGAATCTCTTGAAATTGCTATTAAAAGGAACCATGGAGTTGAAATGATGAAAACAGTAAAGACCAAGAGCTCAGTGGAACAACAGAAAGCCCAGAACATATATACACATATATGTACCTACATACATGGACATTATATTGTAAATTCATAGGTTAAGTTTGAAGGGTGTTAGGATGAGTGAATAACAATCTAGGAAGAAAATCAAATCCCTACTATATCTCGCACCTCATAGCAAGACAAATTCCAGATGGATTCCAATGCAAAAATAAAACCAGACGAATATTAAAAAAATGTATACATTATTATTAATAACAGTGGGCTTTATAAGTAGAAATCAATAAAATCTTGGGCTTTCAAAGGAAGAGATAAAATTAACCACATGAAACTTGAAAATGTCTATACCAACATTTTCCTTACATAAACAAATAAAGCATAACATTTAAAAGGTAAAGCCGTGAATTGGAAAATATTTATAGCCTACATGACAGTCAAAAGGTTAATATTTTTTAATAGATAAAGAGCTTCTAAAATTTAACGTGACAAAAATAAGCACTTCAATAGGAAAAAAGGACAAAGGTCATAAACAGGTAGTTCACCAAGGGAGAAATACAAATTGCCAATGACATATAATTAAAATGATTTCCTCAGTAAAAATATAATGAATTTAAATCAGAATAAGATGGAACTTGATTATCAAATTAGCAGGGGTGAATATGAGTTCGGGTGATGAAGATGTGAGTGAATGAGCTCTCTCTTACATCGCTGGTGGAAGTATAAAGGAATGCAAATTTTCTGGAGGATAACTTGGATAAATTTTTCCAAGACATTAAAATGTTAGCATTCTTATTAACCCAGGAATTTTATTTTTAGTCAGTTATATAAATAGAAGTTCATACATTAAGCTATAAGGATTACCACTGCAATCATATTAACAATGTTGAAAGCTATAAACAATCAAAAGGTTAGTATAATAAATTATGGCAAGTTAATATGATATAGTACTAGGCAGCAATTAAAAATAATAATATAGGAGAATATTTAATGCCATGAAAAACATTCACTATAAATTGTTAAGTGAAAAAAAGCAAGTTACTTAAAAATAAAAATGTAATTACCTATATGTATGCATGTATATATTTAATTACGTATATGTATTTGCATATAATTAGATCAATTCAGACAAATACTAACAATAGTTATTAACAGGCAGTGAGAATACAGGTAACTCTAATTTTATTTCCTTCTGTAAATCTACATTTTCCAAATTTTCTACAATGTATATGCCTTACCTTGGTAGTAAGAAAAAATAAAAAATATATTCTTAAAACAGATATATTTTGTTTAAAGCAACAGAAATCCTTTTTTTTAAATGAAATCTTAGGTGAAAACCCAATCTATGGAACCAATAAGAGGGGTGAAGTAGGGGTGGTAGGCCTAGAGGCCTGCTCCCTTGATGGGCACCCTTGAGCCCTCACCTAGCAATGTCAGGGCTGGGGGAATTCTGCTGAGAACCCATTGTGTGTAAACACCATTTCTAGGTCCTACATGATTTGTTCTCAGTGAACCCATACACGGCCCCAGGATGGCTGGTTACCACTACAGTTACTCATAAACTATTTAATAGCTCATTTCATGTAGTTCACTACATTCATTGTCATATGTTCATTCGTTAAGCACTTTCTGAAAATTTTTCTAGATTTTAGCTTTGCATTATATTAGTTTATTTGTGGATTAGAGATAAAAAGATTTTCTTACTGCATGAAATATCCTCAGAGAATATAATTTAATTCCACACCATCAGATTTTATTGAAGGTTGATATGAGAAATGATTACATGAAGAATGGATCTCCATCTTCCCTAAAACAATACATTGTCTGTTAAGATGCTCAAAGGCCCTTACATAAAGATGTGTGTGATAAATTCCCCTAAAGTTTTAGAAAAAAAGGTTGCCCATTTTTATAAATAATTGTGACTTCCTTTTATAGTACTGTATTATTCCTATATAACTCATCATGTTTCCCTTTTGGCTTTGGCTGCCAGAAAGCTCAGAGCTATATTTGTTGCCAAACCGCAGCAATGAACAGCTGCCTCATTTTGCAGAAAAACTCTACCCCAAAGCACTTGAGTGTCTAGCCTCAACTAAATGGTCCCATGATATGCATGGCTCAGGTTATGAGTTGTCTCAAAGCCAATTTAGAAATAGGCAAGGATTAAATAATAAACAAACAAACACATAAGTAATTTGGACTTAGCAGGCTTGGTCTTCGGCGGTACAAAACGCTCACACCTGAAGTTTGATTTGTATCAAATGCCTTTCGGGCACGTTGCTTAATCTGGAGTACTGTTCTGGATGAGCGCTCCCCTGGGTGCAGACGTGGACATTTGGGTCTTTCTGCTACCAAGGCCCACACATGCGTCCACCCACCCCATGATGCTGGCTCCTTAGAAGTGATCTGCATGGTATCCAATAAGGATATCAGGTCAAAAGCATAGCAAAAGCGCAAGGCACAGATAAACTAAGAGTTTATACGTGGACCATAACCCTAAAAACATTTAAGAAAACAAGATATTGCTGAATTGGATCAGGAAATAGACAATCTTCACAAACAGAAACAATCTTAAGCATTGGGATATGTGCGCATAAGTGTGTGTCTGTGTGTTTATTACAATGATCAACAGTAGACTAAAAAATATCAGGTGAGTTAAGGTACTTCTTTACCTTTCCAGAAGGTCAAATATGTATTCTTATTGTTAACATTACTCACATCATTTTACAATATGGTAAGTGCTGAAAAGGGCATGGAATGTGGAGGAAAGGGAACCACAATTTTCTGAATGACGTATGTAAATTGTTTCCTCCATTATTTCATTTAAGAGACACCAGTATCCTTTTTCTTTGTAATGCATAAGCTCTTTAGCAACCTTCCTAATAACACGGTAAGGCTCTAATATAATGGATGTTGTGTTAGAATGGTTTGGAATGATACTGGGCCTGGTAGGGTGGACTCTGGTAATGCAGTCTTGATTATAGTGTGATAATAACTGGCAGGTGGCTGTCTGTATCAGCAACAGACACCCTCAAAGCCTGTGGAAATAGCTTGGTTCCCATGGCTATGAAGTAAGGTGGGTCAGCTGCCCAGAGCAACAGATTATCATTACAAAAAAGATTTGCCATGGCTTTCACAGGAGAGGCCAAACCAGCCTAGAAGCAAATGGACGAGGCAGGCTTCTGGGGCCCCAAATATCTTCCTACTCCTGCGGGCCTGCCTCATATTCTATAGATAGAATTTCATTCAAGGTAGCAATGCTTGGTACCCATGAGCCCAGGCTCTAGAATCAGATCTCCTTATTTAAAATCCCAGCTCCACCACTTACTGTTGGCTGAGTAAACTGGACATAGTCCCTAACTTTGGGTCCTTCTGTAAATGAATGAGAAAATCCATGAAAGGCAGTTAGCCAGCACCTGGCTCATGGTATGCTTTCACTATATATCAACTTTTATTATTATTTACACTTAAAGTACCACCTTTTAAAATGCAAGTACCCAGGGAGGCATACCTTATTCACAGTTAGTACTTCGGAGGGGGGCAGGGGAATCTCACTTGAAAGTCAATTAAGATGTAGTGAGCAGCAAGGGATCCAGGACTGAAACCCAGGAGAAGCAAGGAACTAAGCCAAAGGAGAGAAACAGCTTTGAAATTTTGCTCAGAGCCACACTGATTCTTCTACGTGGAAAAGTACCCAATCGTTGCAGCTAGCCAAGCACAAACCCTCGCTGTTGCAGAAAGGCAATCTAATTGCCGAATCCAGATACAGGATGCGTGGCACCTGGGCCCTTAGGGACTGCCTCTCTATCAACTGCTCCATCTCAGAGGACTCTACATACAGACTTTCTACAGTAAGAGACATTAATTAAACCGTGAAGCCACCAAGTTAGCGCCTTGTTTTCTGGCCTGCCATGGAGTGTATGCAAAGATTTATAAACACGGTCTGTGTGTGGAGATGAGCACACCAGGAGAGGCTGCCTTCATGGGCGTTGCTGTTAACAGCCAATGGAAAGTCACCACCCTTTCCCACAAAGTGGCTGTGCATCCCTTCACACTCTGAGCAGAGACTCTTATTTGTAAAGTCATCCATCACCTCAGTATACCAGTCAATCATAGATTTCAACATCCCCTTCCTGACCAGCAAGGAGAGGAGAGGAAACGGCAGTTTGGAGACTTCCAGTTGAGCTGTTGGATAAATGGATGATAGTTTTTCTTCTCCCCAGGGTGCCCAGGAGAGGCTGATTCTGACACAAACCCATAGAAAAGGGCCTCCGTTTCACCTCCGGCTGGGTCAGGGAGGGGGGCATGGGGAGAGGTGGGGGGAACACATGTGTTCACACATCCAGTTTGCTGCGCTGGACGAAACACTGACCTGTTAGGCCAGCGGCCTCGGCAGACAGGAAGGCGCTCCAAGACAGGAGGAAAAACAGGCCCGTTTCCAGCATAGGGAACTCACACAGTTTGGTAAATTTGGTCAAGTGACAAAGACGCGTTAAGGGAAATAACAACTGCTTTTATGAATAAATCTCCTTTTTGGCTGTGAAAAAATCTGGTTGTGTTTTAGATGAGAGAACTAATTTGCGGAGCTGGCTGTAACTGACTGAGACTTGACTTTGAAGGCCAGCAGGAATCATGCTTCATTGCGGGCTGAACACTCCTATAAAAATGCAAACTGGTGTTCAGATAAAAAAGATGTCTTACTAAGAGGATAAAATCAGCTCAGTGTAGACACAAAACTTCTTAAATTTGGACTCAGCCCTTGGGGTGTGCCCCTCAGAATACTGGCAGATCTGGGAAAACAAAGCCAAGGGGAGTGAGGCTGGGTGAGATGCTGCCAGTGTGTCAACACTGAAGGAGGCCACTGCTCCCCAGGGAGTGCTGGTCTGTGGACAGATCACCTTGAAGAGCCTTCTCTCTTGGGGATAGAAATTGAATCAGGAGGAGCATGTATGTTCAGTGAGAGGGAAGCTGCCCGGACTCTCTTTGTAAAAGTAGGATGGAGGAAAATGGGTGTTGCTTCTAGGTCAAGCAAGATGCCCTTTGGCGGGCAGTGGTTCATTTTGGCCAGGATGACACTTGGTCAATAGTCTATAAATTGCAAATAGAACAAAGGCACAGTGATCTGAGTCAGGCAGAGAATGGGCTATGGGGAGATGATTAGGAGTTAGTGATGGATGGGAAAGGGCTACCTTGTAATTGTGTCAACCACTAGGCGGAAAATGCCCTGACAGATAAAGAGATGTTAATGCTATTGCATTTTTATGTTTCTACAACAAAGTGTAAGGAAGATTCCATATTAAGAGATGTTTGGCAGCAGGGCAAGGAAGCAAAAAGCATGACCTCTGCGTTAGCAGATCTGGGTTTGAGTCTTGGCTCTGCTAGTCACTGGCTGTGTGATTTCTGAGCAGTATGTTAACCTCTGTGAGCCTTATTTGTATCCTAGGTGAACTGGCAATGAGAATAATACCTACTCACACAATGTGCAGAGTAACATGCAATGAAGATATTAAAAATGTTTTGTAAAGTCTTAGAAAGCACAAAATACTCAGGATCATGTCATGGTTGGGAGTGTGGCCTCTGGAAGGCAACTCTACCTGGGCCCATATTCATGGTATCAGCTTAGCCGGGTCACTCTGCACTTTGGTTTCCATGTCTGAAAATGGGCATAATAGTGCAATCTACCTCCTAGGTACATAAACCACTTACAATATGTTAAGCACTCAGAAGAGTGCCTGGTATATAACAAGGGATGTGTAAGTTTTTCAATTAGTGTGATTTAAATAAATTTGTTTTGTAAAACATCTTTTCTGGAAAGAGATTCAGTAAGGATCTGGAAGCAATTCTTTACCTGGAGGAAAACATGGGCTGCCCTTTGACCCTTTTCCAATGTCCCCTCTTCTTACTTGGAGGGAAGGCTTTGTTTCTAATGGGGTTTGTTCCTCTGAATTCCCTCTTCTAGTTTGTTGTAAAGAGAAGGCTCAGGCCGATTTGAGTAGCAGAATACCAACTGGGCGTAAAGTGTTCTTCTCTTTCCATGGCCTCCAGAAAGTTGTTCAGTTCTGAGTCAAGCCCTAAGCTTGTCCGGAGCCCAGGGGCCCACAATCTGAGAAGCCTCTGCCTCATGTGGACAAGGCATCCAGGTGGTTATGGTGGAGGAATGGACTGTGCCCCCGTCTCCTTCACAGCCTGAGTTTGTGACCCAAGGCCATCAGGTGTTGCCACTATTACTGAGGCCCTGTCTCTTCCTTTTCTCCACCCCTTTCCCCAGATCTGATCCAATATCAGAGCAGACTTCCAACCTCCAGGAATTTTTACCTTCCTTATCAATTTGTTTACTTATGTGTCCATACAGTCCTTGCACACTGGGCAGAAAAAAGTTCCAATCTCAGCCCTTCCACCTCGTGCCGTCCCTGGGACCAAAGGCCTGGTTTTAAACCCCTGCCCTGAAATGTCCTAGCTGTGTGGACTTAGACAAGTTGCCTAACCTTATATGTCAGTTTCTGCAGCTGAAAATTGGGGGAATAACAGTATCTCCCTGCCAGGGTTCTTATAAAAACTATCTGAGATAATCTATGCAAAATACTAAGGACAACGGCTGGCACGTGGTACAGTTCTGAACATATGTAAGATGACATAATTAATATCATGTCCATTATTACTGATATGTGACTCAGAGTGAGCTACTTAACCTTCTTGAGCCTCGATTTCCTCCTGTGTAACCCGGTGTCTTACAGGGTTAATTCGAATAAGAAGATATATATAAAGGCCCATGCTAGACATTCACTAAATGTTGTGATCATTACTATTACTCTACTCCAAACAACATGTGACCTCCATCGTCATTCCACTTAATGATTAAGAGGCAACAGGGAGTAGTGATCAAGAGCATGGTCTGTCTCTCGGTTTCACTCCTTAGGTTTGATCTTGGCTCTACTTCCAAGCTGTATGACCTTGGGCAATAGCTCACCCTTTCTAAGCTACAGTGTCCAGTAAAAAAAGATATGACCATTGTGAAGGTTAAATGAGTTATTGCATGTAAAACAAGTAGTAGGGGGCCTGACATGTCTCCAGTACTGGGTAGATTGTTAATCATTATTTTTAGTTGGAAGTCAGCCCTATCTTTTCCGACTTACTTTTGTCAACGGAGTTGACATTTTCCAGGGTTTCCAGGACATGACTTTGGGGTGGTCTTTTGATTCTCTCCTCTTCCTTATCTCTTAGTACCAACCAATCACTAAGTCCTAGAGCTTCTTCTAAACATTGGCCTCCTTCCCGATTTCCACCCCCCACAAGTTATCATCACAGTTTTCCTTGATCTTAATCTTCCTTCTCTCATTCACCCTACATACCAGTTCCTTATTTATGTTTTAAAAGCAGGACTTTCATGTGTCCCTCTCTGTGGACTATAGAAAGATGCCCAGGCTCCTTTGAATAACACTCCAAGATACTCCACAAGCTGACTCCATCCCACCTGTGTCCCCTCATCTTCCACCGCTCACCAGCCTGAGCCCTCAGGTCCTTTCAGGCACAACTGCCATGTGCCACGGCAGTGCCCCCTCCGCCACACCTTCATGAATGCTGGTCTTCTCCTGAATCTCTTATCATGTGGCTTTTGCCTGTATCCTACCCATTTTTCAGGTCAAGCCCAGGTCCTACTCTGCATGTAAATACTGCTTTTCAGATGATTTTCCAGAATCATAAGATTGGCCAAGAGTCTATTGGACCATCCCAGACACAGTGGCCTCATCATCATTTGAATTTTTATAATCTTACTAAGGTGGCTCTGCAGCTTTAGCACTCACTTTCCATCCAACTCTTACTGTAGAGCTTGTCTTTCTAAGTTCGTCATTAGTTGAAGGCAGAGTCCATGTTTTATTCATCTTCTGACTTATCTTAGAAAACTTTAGTAGAACCTAGCCTTTTAGCAGTTGTTCAGTGAACTGTTAGGCTAGTCCTCATGAAAAGAGACCCCAACATTTTGCTTTCCTTGCCTTGATCCCTGACCCTTCTTGCATCTTTCTCCTTTCTTACTTCTCTTTCCCCCCCAAGGTCTCTGGTCCTTTGTTCTGCCTCTTCTCTGTAGCCTCAGTTAACACTTGACATTAGCCTTCTCTGGCTTTCCTCTTCAAATCTGACTTATTTTTGCCCCCATCCAACTGCTGTGAGTGAAGAGCTCACCAGACCAGCTTCTTTCCCCGGCTCAAATCCTCTAGGAACTTTACCCATCCTCCCACCTCTCTGCTGAAAAAGAGGGAGTAAGATGACACAATTGCCTGGATGTGGCAAACATCATTTCTGCTTGGCTTGCTGTTCCCCTTCCATAAAAGAGCTATGCATGCTCGTTTAAACTCACAGTCATCTTTGGCTTGGCCAACCCTGTGAACTAGTGCTTGATACAAGTTTGAAAAGGAGGCAGAGAACACTTAGTTTATCATTCCCAGTCAATCATGCTTTATTCTTGACCTTAGATCTTCAGTTCTTCCTCTTGACCTTAATATATCCAAGCCTGATACCCCCTGGTCACCTATATTCCTAGGTGGGAATTTTTTTAAGACTGTTGCTATCCTAGGATCAGACAGTATGAGCCGTGCTAGAACTGGCCTTGGACAGGAAAAGAGCCTGGGCCCCTCTTCCACTGGTACCGACCTATGCTTCGAGGGGTGGCTCGGAACCGAGATGGCTCCAGTGGTGCCGTACTGCGCTCGAACGAGACTATCTAACCATTTCCTAGCCTGGAATTTGTCAGTCCTCAGAAACATTCCGGGGAAGTTGACTGCTCTGAACAGTCCCCAGCTTTCCACACAGGACAAAGGATATCAGTGCCGTGACAACAGCATACGCAGACCCCATTGCAAATGAGCCGGCGAAGATCCCCAGGAAATTCCCCACGGACTGGAAGAATGCTGCAGCATCAAATGCGTTCGGATTCTCCTTGGGACTGTAAATGGATATAGAACTGAAAAGAGAAGAGGGTGACGGTTAGTCAGCGACTCCCATCTCATGGCCCAAACACCAGAAGTCAGAATTTAGCACCCACTTTTGGGAAGGGCACGTTTTCCTGTGAGGTTAGGTGCTGGTTGGAAGCTTTCAGGGGAAACGGATGAGGACAGAGAGAGGTGGAGAAGGCAGAAAGCTTTCCGCTTCCTTACAACCCAATCCCATGGTATCTGTATATTGCTGCCCATCAGTAAACATTTTTATATAGGAAGGGTCGTAAGGAATATTGTTTCTGAGCAAACTAGGCATTAAAACATGGTAGGCGTATAAGGAATCTGCTGAGGAGATAGATAACTGTGAATTATTTAGTGGCCATATGTCTTCAGTGCTGTTAAATATTCACAAATGTTCCTGATAAAAAGTGCACTTTTACGGCCTGTGCACAAATGGATGATACAAATCACAGCACGCACAAAATATTCTGCTGTGATCTTGTCATAAACCACAAAACACTGCTCCTCTCCAGTGTAACCCTTCAGAAACAGAGCCCAGAGGACGTTCAGAGCATCACAGTATTAACCCCTGGGGAGAGACAAACCCCTCATTTTCCCCCTGAAACAAATGGCAGCAGCTGCCTAAGGTCATCGTTTATACCCCAATTCTGATGGCTGCCAACAGATTTATATCCACAGAGAAAAATCAATCCACCAATAGGCAGTCTGTTCACTTAAATAGTTTTGAGGAAGTCATATTTGCTATTTTCTTTTTGTAACCAGGGCCTCAAATCCCACAGTGTTAATGTAAAGGACAAGGTGTGTCCTATTTTAGGAAACATGAGCTCCGTATTGTAGCATCAAAATGAACAGATGTGCTAGAACCAGTGGCTTTCGGGAGACTAATGAAGTAACTTTTCAGATTTTTTTTTTTTTTGCAGTTTTTATTTTAATACAAGGTCTTTAAAGCTAATCAGACAAAATCAATAGTTTCTCAGCGGCTGCTGGGAGGGACCTTGTAGCTCTTAGAGAGCAAACAGTACACCAGACACACTGACTTGAGATTAGATAGGATTTTACAGAGATGTAACTGAATCTCTTGTGACTTGGATGATGAGAGTACGTTAACTCTTTGACCTGACTTTTTGTGTCTAAAGACTAGTTAAGAGAGAACAGGGGGAGTGGGTTCCAATTCTCCTCCAGGAAAATGTGTGGCATAAAAAAGGTAGTTTTAAATGTTTCTAGTTTTTCCCTGGATATCTTTAAACCCCCAAAGTAGGCCAAACACGTCTGCTTTTTTTTTTTTTTTGAATTTTATTTATTTTTTTATACAGCAGGTTCTTATTAGTTACCCATTTTATACATATTAGTGTATATATGTCAATCCCAATCTCCCAATTCATCACACCACCACTTTCGCCCCTTGGTGTCCATACGTTTGTTCTCTACATCTGTGTCTCTATTTCTGCCCTGCAAACCGGTTCATCTGTACCATTTTTCTAGGTTCCACATATATGCATTAATATACGATATTTGTTTTTCTCTTTCTGACTTATTTCACTCTGTATGACAGTCTCTAGATCCATCCACGTCTCTACAAATGACCCAATTTCGTTCCTTTTTATGGCTGAGTAATATTCCACTGTATATGTGGACCACATCTTCTTTACCCATTTGTCTGTCGATGGGCATTTAGGTTTCTTCCATGACCCAGCTATTGTAAGTAGTGCTGCAATGAACATTGGGGTGCATGTGTCTTTTTGAATTATGGTTTTCTCTGGGTATATGCCCAGTAGTCGGATTGCTGGGTCATATGGTGATTCTATGTTTAGTTTTTTAAGAAACCTCCATACTGTTCTCATTGTGGCTGTATCAATTTACATTCCCACCAACAGTGCAAGAGGGTTCCCTTTTCTCCACACCCTCTCCAGCATTTGTTGTTTGTAGATTTTCTGATGATGCCCATTCAAACTGGTGTGAGGTGATACCTCATTGTAGTTTTGATTTGCATTTCTCTAGTAATTAGGAATGCCGAGCAGCTTTTCATGTGCCTGTTGGCCATCTGTATGTCTTCTTTGGAGAAATGTCTATTTAGGTCTTCTGCCCATTTTTTGATTAGGTTGTTTCAAACACTTCTGCTTTGATCATGTAATTGGATAAGGAAGATGAATGTGGATCTCAAATGGAGCCCTGTTATGTATATGAGAAAGGGATTGCCTTTGAAGTGTTCTTCTTTCTGTAAAGTGTTGTGCTTTGCAGAATAAAAAGGAAAAGCAAACCCATATTTGGGTCCTTTGTAGCTGACAGTCCTGGGAAAGGGTGTAAAACCCCATGGCCATTCGGAAACTTGGTGCCCATGGCTGCGTGTGTAAAAAAAAACAGTAGTGATGAGGAAACATTCCAGTTGCTATCTGTCTTTCAAACAAAGGTTTTTGCACAGTAACACAGTTTTGTAAATAATTCTGTTAATTCCTAAGGCTGCTCCCAGCAGATCTGATCCTTAGAACAGGCATCTCTTCAACCCCATCTTCACCGTTGCACTCGCTGGAAGTGTTTTCTCTGTCCCGATGCTTCCCTAGCTTGAAGTGCCGCCGTCACTTCTTTTGGCCATATTCCGTATCATTACTTATGTAATGTTTGTTCTTAAATCAACTCATTTTTATTCAAATGCAAAAGCTTTTATTAAATAATATTTACGAAATCATAGTTTTGAGTTGCTTCATATATTGCTTTTTAATACACATGAGATTATGTAATTATTAAATTTGAAAAACAAAGTTCCCCTTTGTGTCACCTAAAATCATCTGGGTATCTCCACTGGTTCATAGTCTGCGTTTTGGGAGATGCTGTTTTCTTCCTGGGCTCTGATCCCCACCCAAAAGGGTGCAGCCAAATTTCATACCTTCCCTGTGAGATCTGATTGAACTGAAGGGAAGAGCTTACTTAATTCTCCTTGACCTATGGAGACTCGTTCATTGATTTGCCAGCCCTAAAGCACTTCAGGATGTTAGTCGAGATGCATGGGGTACGTGCTATGTACCAGGTGATGGATTCGATGCAGGGAGTGGCGGGCGGGCAGGGAAGGGCATGGAAAGGAGAAGCAGAACTTGAGTCAACAAACATTTTACTGACCATATGCAAGGCATAGGCGGAGAAGCCTAAGATAGAGAAGACAGCTAGCTCATGTCAGTCACAGTGCTGAGAGTGATTGTGAGAGATGTGCAACATTTAATGGGGCAAATGAGGAAAGGGGCACTAGTTTAGAATAGAGGGGATGGCATTTGATCAAGTCAACAGTCAGTGATGGGCAGCAGGCATTCCAGGTAGTAGAAAGGGTGGAAGCAAAGGCAAGGAGGCAGGAGAGTTGAGGGCACTTCAACGTGGAACTATATAGTGATGGCTGGAGCCTGACAGCACATATGTGGGCACTGGCGGAGGGGCAAAGGCAGGTAGCTGGCATCACTCAGAGCTTTAAATTCCACCTTAAGAATATACAAAAGCCCTCACATTTATGTAATATTTAGTCCTCTTATGCCTGCATTATAACTGTATTTGATCCTATAACATCTCTGCCAGGTAATTAGGGCAGGTATATGGTCATCCGTCTTTTTCTTTCTTTTCTCCCCCCTCCTTTTTAAAAATAAAATACAGAAACGAAGAGTCAGAGACATGAAGATCATATAGCTACTAAGTTCAAAATGTAGATTTCTTGTTTCTCCCTTGAAAAAGTGATCTTGTTGGGAGGCAAACATGAACCCACATCAGGACCGTTGAGTGAGTGTGGTTCTGATTCTAAGGGCAATAGGAGTTCAGGCACCAGAACCTTGGATTCCATGTGTGGATGGAACACGAGAAGCACTCTCCCATGTGCCAGGAGAGTGTGGAGCACCTTGCATGGGGCGACAGAGCCCTCCTCTCCCATCCCACTAGCAGGTGAGACGCAGGGCTCCTCCTGGAAACCTGCTTTCGTGCCTCCTTCTGCTCCTGGACTTCAGCTTTGCTAGGCCTGGCCTGGGTCTTTGTCCTGCTTCTATGCCCAGGACACAGCCTGACGCCCGGCCCGTGGCAGGCTATATACAGGTTGAGGGAACGAGGGCAGGCTGACTGGAAAGCAGGAAGGAAATAGGAAGAAATGCAGGAGGAGAAGCGGCTTGCAAAAGCTAGTCATCTTTCAAATGGATCGTCATCTACAAGAGTTTTTATTAGGCATTGACTATATGTAGTCATGTCGTGGGTACTTTTAGGGTTATCAGTGCAAGCTTGAAGTCAACACTTGAGACTCAGCTTGAGCCTCAAAGATCTCATCCTTATTGGCTGTATGGCCTTGGTTAAGTTACTCCATCACTCAGGCTCGGTTTCAAAGTCTATAAAATGGCCATAACATTACGTATCCCACAGAAATGTGTGAGAATATGAGGTACATTTAAAAACCTATAAAAAAAAAATAAGAGGGACTTCCCTGGCAGCCCAGTGGTTAAGACTCCATGCTTCCATTGCAGGGGGCACGGTTTCGATCCCTGGTTGGGGAACTAAGATCCAGCATGCCTCAGGATGTGGCCAAAAAAAGAACGATTAAGATTTAAAAAAACCCACAAAGCCTATATATTTATCTTATAGGTTGTAGGGCCATTCATTGAGTGCTGATCATGTGCACAAAAAATAGGCTCTCAATGAATGCTGGCCATCATCACCATCACTGCCATGATCATCATCATTCTGCTAAGAACTTCCACAGGCTCACAATGAAAGAGGGCAGAGCGCTGTGGCTGAACAAGGCCTTGGTTCCAACTACGGGCCGATGGGGTGTGGGTCCCCTCCCAGCACACTGTGCTTCTAGGTTGCTGCAGAGGGAAAAGTCACTTTTGCATGGGAACATCAGGGTCTCCAGGGAGGAAACGGCCATAGAAGTGACGCCAGTAGGTTGTCACGTTTTGCGCGGAGCTCTTGGGTCCGTGGATTAAGGAGGAAAGGAGCGTCCTCAGCAGCCTGGACAGGGATGTGCTCCAGGACAAGAACAGGCCAGGAG